CTACTATCATCTTGCTGGATCTATATAAGCCAACCTTCTGGGACTAGAAGAATATGACGTGCATCCAGGTTTTTTTGGTAGATGAGATATTGTGTCTCCTATACTACCTTTTAGGTCCAGAGTAACTATAGTCACCATCCACCCTAATATGTAGAATATCTGGACAGTTAGAAGAAATAAATTTGGCTACATTATGGTCTCTCTCACTCCTGGATTTTGGAAATCCTGTCTTAAATACCATTATCTTCTTTGCTTGGGAAGCTCTAAATGAATTACCTCATCTCATAAAAGCAGAAATCCTAAGTTATTTTATTCAGTAAATATTTGCAGAGTTTGGACTATGGTTTTGGTCCTACATTGTAGTATTCAAGGATGGCTCTCCCTTTCAGTGTTTAGTCTGCAATGATACTTGAGGACTTTTGGAAGTGTGAGAACATTTCTGAGTTCAGTGAAAGCCCACATCACTGGTAAACACTTATTCTGGGAGACAAGAGCATAAAATGCAGGATCTTTCAGGTGAGAACTGAGGGATTAGCTAGGTATCAGTTTGGCAGTCATCAGCATAAAGAAGGTATAGAGCTATTCATATGTTTCTAAACGTCTTTGACTCTCTGTGCCTCTCTCCTTGATTCTGAACAGGCCTAAAATATGCTACATGACTTTCCAGGCTAAGACAGTAAAAGCCATGCAGCTTCCATCTGGTTTTATTGGACCACTTATCCTCTGGAGGAAACCCTTTTTGAACCCAGGTACTATTCTGTGAGAATCAAAGGAAAGGTCATGTATAAATGATCCAGTCAATAGTCCCAGGTGAGTGAAGGACCCCATTCTGTAGTTCGGTACCTAGAACCTACTTTTTCTTCTCAGTTTATGGCCAAACTTTTATCCTACTATATAGTATTGGTGTTTGGCAACTAGTACACCTGCATCTTGCTGCAGAATCCTTTGCCAAGTGGGGCTGAGAAGTGGATGTTTCATATGTCCTAGTCAATTAAGTCACCCTGTGCTTGTTTGAGTGTCCCTATCTGTGGCCCCAGGCACCTTGGAGAAGATAACAGCCATATTTTCTTTGCCTTGTCCACATTCTTGAGTCATGGGTATAATAAAAGGGGATTGTTTTACTTTGAAATAGTTTGTTACACAATAAGAGATAATTGGATTATGTGGTAACTGAAAAGCCATCAGGAAAGGTGAGGTCATTCAGGGAGACTGTGGAGAGGGAAATGAAAATAGGAACAACTTTGTAGGGAACTCCAGCCTTTAAGAGGAAAGAGAAATTGAATAGAAAAAAAAGTGACAAACAGAAAGGTGGCAGGGCAAAAGATCAGGGGTATCAGGAGTGCGTGGTGTCATGGAAAGCAAAGAGATAGTCTCATGAATAAAGTAGTTGTCAACAGTGTCAAATGCTGCTGACAGGTCAAGTAAGATAACTGCAAAATGCCTTTAGGTTTTAGTAGCAAGGGCAGTGGTGAGTCAGCAAGAGCAGCTTCACTAAGAGCTGATAACAAAATTAGAAATCTTTCAAGAGAGGAGCAGAGATGAAGAACAAAGGAGGGGCTGGCCCTAGACCAAAGGGAGGCCACATTTTTCTGTGACAAAAGAGAAAGAAAGTATGGTGTGTGCAAATCTTGGGAGGTCTGTTTGATCCTAAGCCTAGGAAGTTCCCTTCTAAGAATTTCTGTTTTCCCTTGAACTGAACATTTGGAGGACAAATCAAAGGGTGAGCTGTATTTTCCCACACTGCTCTTTGTTTACCTGAGGGCCCCCTGCCTGGCACAAGCACCCCATTAATCTCTGCAATTCAATATCTAACTTTTTCTATGTTGGGATTGGATCTGGGCCACTAATAATACTACATCTCACCTCAGCACATCGTTACATGAAGCTTAGGGTAAGGATATGGAGCTGGGGGTGGGGACCTGGGGTAATCACTGCTAGACCCGAGTGTCTGGAGTGTCTGACCCTGCATTTCCAGGTTCAGTCTTCTAGTTGTCCTTAGTTGGTGTTTAATCAAAGTGTTATTAATCTACCAACCTGAATTGTGTCAAAGAGAACCAAAGGATGATATTTGTGCTCCGGGAGTGGGAGAATAGCAACGGAATCAGGGCAGGATACATGTGGGGACACTTAAGGGCAGACTGTGCCACCAGGGCAGTGACTGGAAAGGGTACTTGGCTGACTTGGCTTTGATCAGAATTTGATTTTGCTAATAGGGAAACTAAGTCTCAGCTCAGGGGAGGAAGTTGCACAACATTACACAGCAATTGTGACGGTATTGAATCCTGGCAGAAATTCAGATGTCTATTCTCAGTTTTTCCCAAGATATCAAATTGTGTAAGTGGAGGCAAAAGGAAAGTAGATCTAGATTATTCCTGTTTTGACAGCATGAATGGAACTGGAGGATATTATGTTAAGTGAAATAAGCCAGGCAGCTCATTCATATGTGCATTCTTAAAAAAAACAATAAAACAAACAAAAAAACCCAAACCAAACCTGAATGTGTTAATTTCAGTGTAATAATCAATTCATTATGCATGTGTTTATCAAAACATCATGATGTACACCTTAAATATATGTAATTAGAGAAGAGCAAAAGATCAGGTGGAGGCCCCAGAAGGCAGCACAAAGACCGGCATCTTTGTCCTCACTCCAGAGGGAGCCTATGTACTTCAGAAGTTGCTGAAACTGAAAACAAGAAATCCCTGCCTCCAATTGTAGGGCCCTATTTGACAGGGTTTCCCTCAATTGCTTCCTTCTTCCATTCCTCTTCTTATTCCTTCCAACTTCTGCTGGACCACCTGAAAAATGTAGCTTTTCAGAAGGCTCCCTTTCCAAATCTGGCTTGAGTCATCCCCAGGGTGTTATAACACAGATGCATCCTAGAAAGCCAGCGAGCTATACTTGAAGCCTGTTTCAGAAGTCTATGTCACTCAGTCATGCCTTCCTCTCCTGCCCCAAGTACTCTAGCTTGAGGACCCGATAGATAATTAGATGAAACCCCCAAATTTAACAGCCCATGGGAGCAAACAGTTATTTAATTTGGAGAAAGATATTTAAGGTGGCTTGAGAACAGAGAACATTTTATTAGTACAGAGATGTTGTTAGAGCTGCTTTAGAAAACGACACATTGTATTTGTCTTCATTGATTATGGTCTGGCTAGTCTCCTCTCCTGTCACTCTGAAGAAACTCACCCCCATGTAGCTCTGATATTTATTTATTTGGCAGAAATAGACTGACAAACAGAGAAAGAGAGGAAGAGGGAGAGGGAGAGAGAAAGAGAGAGAGATTGATTGATTCTATCTGCTTGTTCACTTCTCAAATGCCCACAATTACTATGACTTGGCTGAGTCCAAAGCCAAGAGCCAGGTAAGGTATATGGGCATCCTAACCAACAGCTTAACTTCTGCATGAAATGACAGTGCCTGTAGCTCTGATCTAGATTAACCTTCATTTATACAACTTGTTGAATATTACAGTTAGTGCTGCATTAAGCCTGTGATCATATAATGGATTGGCATTATGGCTTTTGCAAAACATAAAGAAAAAAAGAGAGGAAGGAAAGAAGGGGGATTGAGGGAGGGGGGAAGTATGGTTATCTTAGAATTGTACCTATTAAATACATGAAATCTGGTCTCTTTATATTAATAAAAATTAAAATAATTTAAAACTTTATAAAAGAAAAATCATAAACACATATTGAGTGCTCTCTATGTTCTAGACACTCTTCCAGCAGCTTCTAGACTGGTACCATAAATGATCTTCTGAGGAAATCTCTTGCTCTAATATATACCATAAAATACTTGAGTTCAGAGGTACCAGTCCCAGCCTGGGGCAGGGTTTCAAACTTTAAGAGAGCTCAACAAAAGAAAGTGTTGATGGTAACAGCTTTGGCTTCCCCAAAGACTAGTGGAATAGCTTTCAGGGGCAAAATGGATTCATGAGGTTCTTAAGGAAACAACAACACTTAGCTGTCAGGCAATTTTATAAAGGAAGTTGCCCCCTGTACCTTCTATGGTTCTCAGGGTATGATTGAACCAGTCAGGGACTGTGAGATTGCTGTACCAGCAGGGCATCCATCAGATGATCATAGGGCTGAACTGCATCAGGCATGAGATTGCCTAAGTCTCTGCTATGATTTCAGACATAAAAACATTTTATCTGATTTGAAATGTTCTCCCAAGAATGTTCCCATCCCTTAGTGGCCAGGTAATTTTCTCAAGCAGATCTCATGAGATTTCCCAGATTGTTCTTAACTCTGTAAGAAAAAAAAGGATCATCATTCATTTCCCAACATATAGTTCAACCAACCAGACAATCACTGTCACTCTGCCTGGTAACTATTGCCTAAGAGAGCTATTGCCTAAAGGAAGGAGTAATCAATGAAAAAAGGGAAGGCTTGGGAATCATGATAAAAATATCTTTTAGCAGAGCATGCAACACAGCTGTTTCCTTTTCTTTCATGTTGAATAATGAGACCCCTGAGTCAATCAAAGATATGTTTTCACATAGGTTCCATTTTGTATGATTTTTTAAAAAAAAGATTATTTATTTGAAAGGCAAAGTATAAGAGAGAGATGGAGGAGAGAGAAACAGAATGAGAGAGATCTTCCATCCACTGATTTACTGCCCACAACAGCTAAGGCTGGTCCAGGCCAAAGCTAGGAGCCAGCAGCTCCATCAGAGTCTCCCACATGGATAGCATGGGCTCAGGTGATTGTGGGCACATTATCTATGGCTTTCCCAGGCTCATTAACAGTAAGCTAGATCAGAAGTGGAGCATCTAGGACTGAAACAGGTGCTCTAATGTAGAATGCTAGTGTTGCAAGAGGTAACTTAACCCACTGTGCCAAAGTGGTGACCCCTGAATGACTGTAGTAGATCTCTTTGCTCTGGGGATAGCTGAATAATCTAATGTTGTTAAGAAGTGGAAAGTTCGTGTGTTATGAGACTGGGGATGAAAGTTAGGAAAGGAATAACAAAAAAAGTTCCCCAGCACAAGTACAATTCAGAAAGGGTTTAATAAACAGCCGCTAAACATTGCACCAAAGCATTTGGAAACACAATTTCTACAGAGAGGCAAAGATCAGGCTTCCATTCTAAATTCCTTTAAGACAATCATTAACAGCCCCACCCACCCCACCCCCATCCCCACATAACCACAAGACTACACTCTTCTAGTCATGAATTTACCTACAGTCTTAAGAATAATGGGACTGGCATGCATTATCCCAGCAATGGCAAGGAAGCAGGGAATAGGGGAAGATGGATGAAAAGGCAACCAGCAGCTAATGATACACCCCTTAGGAGCTTTGTTCAGGTGGTGGGCAGGGAGAATCTGCTTGTGGTGCCATCAGAGGCATTACCTTGGACTTCTAGGATACTCTGGACTGGTGAAGGTATTCAGATCCAAAGTGGCTGGGGCTGCCCTCCTAAATGGTCTCATTTCCTTGAGTCATGACTATTGGAAGTTGTCTCCTTGGGTGACACATTGTGACTTTCTAAAGACTTTTTTTGTTCTACACATCTGCACCTATGACGCAGAAGGCATTCTGAGAATGTGCTGATTTTGAAGCCAAAGTGGCCCTAGCTTCTCTGTCCTTTCTTTATTTTGGCCTTTGGAAAGAGGTACATGGCAATTCTTTATTAAAGACACTGTTAATGAGTCTAGGCAAGTCATTCAAACTTCTGGGACTCCATTTATCTACCTTATAAAAATGTTTATATATATACGTATATATATACATATATATATATCTCCACAACTCATATTAAGAACAAATGAGATCAAATGGATTCTACTTTGACTATGACCTTGTCTAAACAAGATAAGAATCGGAGAACTCAGAGGGCTTCCATAGCCTTGGAAACTCATGACTGGAGCATAGGGAGACTACTGATGCCATAGACAGGAGTGTCAATTGGTAAAGTCAACAACAGGAGTCACTGTGCACTTACTCCTCATGTAGGATCTCTGTCCTTAATGTGCTGTGTATTGAGATTTAATGCTATAACGAGTACTCAAACAATATATTTCACTTTGTGTTTCTATGGGGGTGCAAACTGTTGAAATCTTTACTTAATGTGTACTAAACTGATCCTCTGTAAAAAAAAAAAAAAAAGAAATTATCAACTCCCAACTTGACTCTCACTGGGATTAAACATGACAATAGGTCTGATCTGATTTCATCATCATTTTAAAAAAATCATCTATTATTTTTCACTTTATGTTTCTGTGTGGGAGCAAACTGTTGAAATCCTTACTTAATGTATACTAAGCTGATCTTCTGTATATTAAGATAATCGAAAATGAATCTTGATGTGAATGGAAGGGGAGAGAGAGTGGGAGAGGGGAGGGTTGCGGGTGGGAGGGACGGTATGTGGGGGAAGCCATTGTAATCCATAAATCGTACTTTGGAAATTTATATTCATTAAATAAAAGTTTAAAAAAAAGAAAAAGAAAACCTCCTTGTAATTAAAAAAAATAAATAAAAAATAAAATGTTTAATTTCAGCACCCTATTGCATGTGGCGCTGGGGGAGGGGTAATAAAAAAAAAGTAGTAATAAGTTTAATGATGTAGCTGACTTAAAAATTGACTAGAGATATTTGTATGAATATCCAATTTACCCCCTCATAGAATCAATGTTAACAGAGGACCAGAGGCCGCTGACATGGTGGGAGCAAAGTGCCTGTTCCTGGGCTAGGGTGTGGAAAGTGAACGGTATGGAAAGAAGAATTTTACTATCACCTGCCAGTGGCCTTCTCTCTTGAACCAAGCTTCAATCTTCCACTACCATCTGCCCCTCTTGTCCCATCCAGTATTTTACCAATTGCCTTGGCAGGGAAGTGATTTTCTTTCTCTCCTATCTTAAACATTTGATCTAGATCTCTTTGTTTCTATTGGTATCTCCTTAGCTGAAATTAAAAATGCTTGAATGCTTTTCTCATGAAGAGTTTTTAGGCAACATTAAGTCCAAACTAAGCAGTGCCCAGCTGGCTACAAGAGGATCAAAGGCATTGAGGGAAAATGACCTTCCTAGAGGGAAGATATACCAAGGAAGGTACTATTTTCCTGAGGGGCTGGACATAGGGCACCAGCCATCTTGGTGCCAGACTGGTCCAGCTAGTTCTTACATGGTAGACAGTGGTAAACCTCAATTGTCCTCACTAACTCCAAGTCAAAAAAGAGGTTGGGGCTGTGTTCAGAGGTTAGTTCTGGCTCTTGCCTTTGCTGTAAATATTAATTCCTAGTAGACCCTACTGTTGGCAGAGAAGGGAGTAGGCAGAACTGCATGGGATAGCCCAGTCTGTCTCCCTAATGAGTCAGAATCATCTGATCCAAGCAAGTAACCAATTGTCCTTGGCCTGGACCTCCCAGACAGCCAAGGTTTCCACTATAGGGAGTGTTCTGTTCTTTCTGCAATGGGCAGAGTGCAATAAAATACATGCGGAGCCCTCAGCTGGCGGCGGGGGGGTGGGGGGACTTTCAGACTAAGATGGAAAACTAGACAAATGTGTTTGTCTCTGATTGGGGTATACCTAGAAATGTTACAGGGACAAGTAGTTTTTCTGTAGTTATTTTTTTTCATTGAGACTCATAAATATGAATTGAGTGGCACAGTTTGAGAGAGGGTTAAAAAGAAGAATTCTGAAACATATGAAGGGAAACTCTGGAGTAGGGTGCCTGGATGCTTCATGGGGTATACAGTGCTGTGGTTGCTGTGTTGTCACCACCATCTACTGTTTGCGGATCATGCCCTTGATAGCTGACTCCCGGTTGACATATGTGGCCCAATACACCAGATTAAATATGGCGAAGAGCACAGGAAAGATGATACGGGAAATTTTGTCAACCTTGCTGACACTGTTGTAGGTCTTGGTCTCAGTTGGGCTGTCCTGCACATAAGTGGCCTTGGGCGAAGCAATTATTGTCGGGGTTGAGGATGCACTGGGAGCGGCGCCCTTGGAGATGGTGGAGAACTCAGGGTTCTTGGCCAAGTTGATGGGATAAGTGGTTCCCACGATGTTGAATGTGGCGCTGGTTTTCTTTGTCGGGGCTGCCGGTGTTTTCTTCTAGAGGCCAGGAAAAATAGGGGAGGAAGGGAGAACAAAATAAAAGCTAATTGGTTCATTATACAGAGCACATTTAGAAGATGCAGGGAGAAGCCATGAGGGAAATTAAGCAACTGGGGCCACGAAGCCAACAGCAGTAAGTAGCCAGGTTTATGTCTAGGGATATTGGAAGATGAGTTTGAAAACAGAACACTTCCATCATTTTGGCTTATTAGCTATAAGGTTTTGGCTAAGTCTCCTGTTTTACTTGAGCCTCAGTTTCTTCATCTGCAAAATGAGGAACAAATAATTGGCAGGATTGTTGAGAGGATCAGATGAGAGAATGGTAGTAGGAACCACTGCTAAACTGCGGAATTTTGGTCATCAGTGGGGTTTATATGTCATAGGATTTGATCCTCAAAGCAATCCTATGAGGTAGGAAGGAGAGATTACTCCCATTTGACAGATGAGAAAATTCAGTCTCAGACTAAGTGGCAGAGCCCCCACTTGCAGTCTTGGCTCCTGACTTTGATCCAGGGCTGCACTGTTCTGCTTTCTATAGGCACGAAACACTTTTTGGTTACCCGAGAAATAACTCCAATAGGCTGCAACCATCAAGTGGCACATCTCCTGTGAGGAAGAGAGCTTGGTGAGTTGGAAAAGTCATTTTGCCTTAAAGACACAATCAATACAATGGCATGTTGACATGGATCATTAAAATAGCATCCCACCCTTCATGCACTGTAAAACATGGTCAGCAAGCTCAGGGACACACCAAGGTTTTGCACTCTTACAATGTTGTAGGCAGGAGCCATAACCTCCCCCACAGAGCTATGCAAATGACCCCTTCTGCCACAGCAAATGCAGTCAGTTGTGGGCTTGCGATGGCACTATTCTTTGTGTTTATTTTTCAGAATAAAATCCTTAAATACCTAGTGGGGAGCAAGCACACACACATACATGCCCACTTGTTCTCACATATATGAACTCAGGTATACATAGTTGTGGCTCCCTTGATGCCAAAGAAAGAAGAGGAGATAGAGCTATTTCTGGATCAGAATAGAGAGAGTTAAGTGCAGAGGAGGCTAGGGAGCAGGCTACCCCAGATTCAGGCCAAAGATGGTGGTCTATCTCAAATCTATAATATTGTTTGCTGCTTCACTCACAATGTCCTTTTCTTCCTTCTATCCTTCTCTGCCTCTAGGGAAAAGTTGATAGAGATGAGCTTCACACATGCATCCAGAGTTTACTTGTTTACTCCTCCACTTCCTACCTGGTTCCTTCCTGAGTTTCTCTCTTTTCTCCCTCCAGTATTGACCCCTTTCTCCTAATCTCTTTTTCTTGCTTCTTTTAAGTCATAGTCCCCATCATTTTAATCTTTTGTCCTTTACACCTCACTGCTATTTTTTTTTTCTTGATCTTACTAACAACTTTTGCCCAACATTGAGTGAATACCAGCTTGGCCAAGAACAATGCTAGGTACTTAGGGGATAAGTAGGTTAAAAGATGAGTCAAACTTCAGTTGTTATCTTCTAGGAGCTCACAGTCTGGTATGGGAGAGAACCTTGTGAACTCATCATTGTTATATAGCGTAATCAGAGTTCTAAAAGAAGTCAACAAAGTGCTGTGGGAATTCAGTAAAGGGAGGGACAAGGTACCTGCATGTATTGGAAAAAGTGGCTCAAAAAAGCAATGAGGTTTGTGGTCTGGGACAAAAACAACATGCAGGAGCGCCTTAGATGCAGCAAAGACCAGGGCATAGGTCAGGGGAATTGTTTGAGGGATGACAAGGAATTTGCTGTAGTTGGATCACAGTGGGTAGAGCAAAGAGTTATAGGAACTGACTGTGTAGACAGGCAGAGGCCAGATCTGAATGACCTTGAATACTATGTACTCCTCCTCTGCTGGCCTATGCTGGCTTCATTGTTTTCAATCAGGGAGGGAAAATGTGTCGGAAAAGGATTTTAAGTGAAGGAATAATAATCTCACTAATAGAACATTGTAAAAGCAATACTGTTCTTTATCTTTGAGGATTGAAGTCACATTGCTACAAGTGGAAGGGGGACAGAACTGGAAGGCTCCTTAGAACCCTGTATATTATTTAAATTTTCTACATAGGATTCATTTGTATTTAGCAAATTCATTGTATGAATAGAGTCCTGCTGCTAAACACTTTTGCTATTAAAAGAGCACTTTACCTGTTTGCCTGCTCATTTATTAATTTGCTTAGTAATCTCTTTTTTCATGGATAAGCCAAAACAATTTTAAAAAGAACAAAGAAGAAAATAAAAAGGGAAAGGAAAAAAACACTACCATAACTTGATTAGACGTTTTCACATTCAAGTATGTTATTTCACTTACTCATCTTAACAGCTGGTTATGACCAAATCTCTGAAATAGTCGTTCTAAACAGCAAACAACTTTTCTTTAGCGCCATAGGCACATTGTGTTCTAGCATGGGAGAGAAGCAGTAATTGATTTAAAAGATTTTCTGAAATAATAGAGGAAAATTACGTTTAAATTCCTCTCATTATTACTAAAATAAAACATTTTAATCAACCACTATAATTTTTACCTAAATTGTGGAAAGAAATCAAAGAAAATGTTGTAGTGTCAAGAAGACAGGAGCAGGAAGTAGAGATTAATATTTTCCCATTTCTGTCTCTAGTTTTCTAATATTTCTCCTTGCTTTGTAGTTTGAAACATACAGATTAGACAGTTTTCTTTTTCTTTTTTTTCCATTTTCAAATTATTTTTAAATTTTAAGATTTAAGAATTTTAACATGTTGCCATTCACTTCATGTGGAGATATTATATACATACACAGACACTATTTTTTCTTGAAAATAGGGATATTAATATAAAATGTGGGATTCATGAAAATGATAATAGAGGGAGGCGAGAAGGGTATATTGCCATGTAGATGGTATATTCAGTGAAGACAATATTTATCTTTATACCAAATAAGATGACATCCACACAATTTTAATTATATATATATACATGTGTACACACACACACACACATATATATATAAACTTCCACATATAACATAAAATGTGATATTTGTTCTTCTGTGTCTATTTTATTTCACTTAGCATAATGATCTCCAGTTCCATCCATTTTGTTGCGAATGTCAGGATTTCACATTTTTATGACTGAATAATATCCAATCCTGTGTATATATCACATTTTCCTTATCCAGTTATCAGTTGATATGCAACTAAGTTGATTCTATATCTTTGCTGTTGTGACTGATTTAACTTTGACCAAGTTTCCCTTCTATTCCTACCTCCCTAGACAAGTACTTAACCATTAGGCACAGTATGAATGGTTACTGAATGAAAAAATGACCCTCTGATTGAAGATTCTCATGGGATTTCTAGTCCATCCTTCCAGAATTTTCACTTCTGTCATACAGAGAGCATATCACTACAATTCAGCCTGAGGTAATTTCCACACCAATAACTTGAAAATGACTCCTCCAAATTCCCCAAGCAGCCTGATTCCAGGACAAACACCTTTGCTTCTCACAGGGCATTTCATGTTGGTTTATGGTCTAGGCAATGAGAACTTTTGTAGATGAACATATATCCAACTCCAGAGTCTTCTTAAGATGGCACACTTATTAATTGTTTCTTAAGCTACTAATTAGAGGGTTAGATCAGGCCTCAGCTGTACTTGAAACCCAACCAGGATCTCAGAAGACATACTTACATCTGTAAGTATATCTGTATCAATGCCTTTATAGGAACTCAGCTTTTCTGAACCCCAATTTCTAGAAGAAGGGCAAGGTAATTGAGTGTATGCTATGTGGGATTCAAAAATGGATAAAATCAGCATCAAAAACCCCAAGAACCCAATTTAAAAATTGGAATAGGTTGGGACTGGCATTGTGGTATAATAGGTTAAGCCATGACCTACTATGCTGGCACCCTATATTGGTACAAGTTCAAGTCCTAGCTTCTCCACTTATCAGGGTCCCTGCCAATGTGCCTGGGAAAACAGTTGAAGATGGCTCAATTCCTTGGGTCCTTGGACCCATGTGGGAGACCAGAATGAAGCTCTTGGCTCCTGGCTTTGGCCTGGCCCAGCCACAGACATTGTGCCGTTGTGGCCATTTGTGTAGTAAACCACCAGATGGATTTCTCTCTCTCTCTCTCCCTCTTTGCCTCTTTCTCTTTTTCTCTTGGCTTTTCAAATAAATAACATAAATCTTTTAAAAATAACAATTTGAGGGGCCGGTGCAGTGGCTCACTTGGTTAATCCTCCGCCTGCGGTGCCGGCATCCCATGTGGGCGCCGGGTTCTAGTCCTGGTTGCTCTTCTTCCAGTCCAGCTCTCTGCTGTGGCCCAGGAGGGCACTGGAGGATGGCCCAGGTGCTTGGGCCCCTGCACCTGCATGGGAGACCAGGAAGAAGCACCTGGCTCCTGGCTTCGGATCGGTGCAGCGCCAGCCGTGGCGGCCATTTGGGGAGTGAACCAACGGAGGGAAGACCTTTCTCTCTGCCTCTCTCTCAACGTCTATAACTCTACCTGTCAAATAAATAAAAAAAAAAACAATTTGATGAAGAAAACTAATTAAAATAAGAGAGAACTAAAACATAAGGGAGAAAACAGAAATAAGAAACACTAAAGTATAAATAATGAATCAAGGACATTCAAAAGAGGAAGGAAGTATGCTGGATTTGAAAGAGCGAGGTAAATCAATAGAAAGGTGTGGGGATGCAGGTGGAAGAAAAGTAATCACTGTATCAATTTCCTGAAAGGGTGGGATGTAAGAGCATAACTGGAGAATTACCCTGGTTCAGAAAACAGATGAGATGGACAGAATGGATGAGATTCTGATACTATCTACATTTTGTTTGGGAGAAAGGAACACAGTAAATTGAGGCAAATCTCATGCAATGGTTTTCACATTCCTCATGAGAAAGGTGAAAGGAATAGCAAAGACTTAAAATAGATTTTATAGGAAATAGAGGGAAGAACAGATTAGGGACACAGAAAAGGACTGCAGGTACA